ACCAGTTTTGGAGAACCGGTAGCGGAAATTCTGAGTAGTTCAGTGAACCAGTAAATACTACCTCTGACTTCCCCTGCCCCATATATTCTCTGCCTACTGAGTTCTGGCTGATTGGGAGAAAATGGGGATTTTGCAGTAACCTTCCCCTGGAGTGGGGAGGGAATGGAGATTTTGCAGTAACCTTCCCCTGGAGTGGGGAGGGAATGGAGATTTTACAGTATCTTTCCTCTGCCATGCCCATCAAGCCATGCCACGCCCACCAAGCTTCATGTTCACAGTAAAAATTTTGAATCCCACCACTGATACAGAGGTTGGTGGCTCTAATTTGGTGCTTCTTCTGGAATCTGTTACCCAAGTGGATTCTTCCTTACTTTTTCCTTCAAAATGAAGAAACAAAAAACAAAAAGAAAACAACAAATTTTGAATGATTACTGCACAAATGGCAAATGGCCACTCAATTAAACCTTTTCATTGAACAGCTGTTAAAACTAAAGCATTGAAGAATAATTTTCTAGAGGAGAGATGGGAAATCATGATGGGCATACTGCAATCTCAGGAGCATGTAGCAACAAAATATCTATCTTGTCAGTGTGGAAATCATAAACAATAGATTTATCAAAAGGTAATTTTATTTTGACACCACTTTTTGACCCCTCCATCATTGCTTGTTTCCATTCTGGATTCTTCTGAGCCGATGGGCACAAGTTCAAATAAAGCATTGTGCTGAAGGCAATGAGAGCTGCTATTTTCTAAAAATGCTTGTGGGGCCCTGAGGCTAATATTCATTTTGCCATATGCCCATTTTCAGCTGAACTCAGTTTTAATTAAAATATTATAAAACGCAAAGATAAGGAACTTGCTGGGAGGGGGAAGTATCGTGGAGAGGTCTTGTGCACAATGGTATTAATAGGAACCAGGTTACCCACTGCTTTTCTTTAGGCTATGCAGAAGAAATACTATAATCTTGAGGCGCATCACACAGATACCTGAACTGATTACACAATCTGCTACTTTGGGTGCTTTGAAACAAGGCTTTTATTGTGCAATTGCCCTGGCTCATTCATGAGGAGGAATATACCTAGAAAATGTTGTATTCCACTTGGAAACACTTGGTGTTTATTCACAAATTCTTTCATCCTTTTTTCTATTAGGAAAAAAAAAGAAAAAGAAAGGTTTTGGTAATGCTAGCTACTCTCAGTCTCAAAGCACTCTGATTTACTCATAAAAATGTTTCTAGTTAGGTTTTATTGCACATTCACTTTGCATCTTCACTTATAACTTAGGTTTTTGCATGTGTTTGACCAAAAATTAATGTCCTTGTATCACATCCTTTCCCATCATTTCTTACAACTTTTGTTTTAACATATAACATTCATTAAGAAAGTGGAACAGTTGCATAACATCTTTTGAGTGGTAGGAGAAATTGGTTTCAAGCTTTTTCATTCCAGTTCTACCATCCCTCTAGTGAATTGGCTGACCTCAGGAATAAAAATAGATCAGCAGCCCTTACTTCCCATAGATTTAAGGGGATTCATCTGAAGTGCTACACATACTTACTAGGGAATAGGTTTGCTAGCATAATAATATTGAGAAAAGCATAAATGCACATAGGAGTGTAGAATTTTTTGTTTGCACTAGGGTCACAAAGGACATGGCAAGTTTACCAAGGATGCTTTGTAACTTTAAAGCATGTTTCTGTAGTGACAGGAACAAATAATAAAGAACATCTGTATCTTCATATAGCAACCATACTGAGACGATTCAGTACAGGAATACAGAAATATAAAGGGCAAAAAAAAAATCAAGGTTTTTTTTTCAGTTTTAGAGTCAACCTAGTTAAAGATTCAAGTACTGTCTAATCTTTTTTATGAATTGATTTCAGCTTTTGTATATGCTTCTTTCAAACTGATGCTCACTACCTATGCTGAAATACAATTTTCATATGTACCTGGCTTCTGGAAACATATCTAGAGAACATGACTGATTTAAGTCAGGGTCTGCTAGTTGAAAACTTGTGAGTAAACTTAAACTTAGTATATGCTTTGCTATGTCTAAATAATAAGGGCCTAAGAAAATCTATCAACACACATTCCTTCCTTATGCCATCCTTTCTCCTGAATGTTGTTACCTTTTAGAATTCAGAACATTTCTTTAAAAAAAAATATAGCAAAGGTAACTCAAAGAAAACTGATTTTTAAATTGTTATTGTAGTTGCCCTTGTTAAACCTTCATGTTTCTTTTTTTCAGTGCAAAGGCAGAGGGAGAGGGATTTGCATAAAAACCAGTGCTTTCCACTGTTGCTTCATACTGATCATATCCGAAAGACATCATAGAAATCATCTCATGATGTGGAAAATAATGGAATTCAAAACATTGGTTATGATAAGACATTGGAGAAGCAAAGCTGATGTGGATTCCACGACTGGATTGCTTCCATGTAGAACAGCAGCCTCACTGTTTCAGAGGCCACTCACCATCTGATTCAGATTCTTGCCCAGGTGGTATATTCCAATTGCTGTATGAAGAATGGGAGCTTGTCAAGGCTTTACAATGTCTCTCTTTTCCTTTCTCACTGGAGAAAGAGGTGGGATTTTGAGAAACAGCTACACTGCATGCCTGAGATTGCAAGACAGCTCTTATACAGTAGATGCCACCCCTTATTTTTCTGGGATGGACTATCTGGGATCCAGTGGTCCTCTCTCTTCTCAGTGCTTCCATCTTCTCAGTGTTTGGATGAATGAACAAAGAGGCTTAAAATATGCTTTGCCGCCTATTCTTTCCTCGAGCTGTAGAAGTAGGGAAGGAGAAAAATTAGATGATCGAAGGACCATGGACAAAATCTGTGACTTGGAAGATGAGATTAAAAGGAGATTTCATCCTGATTCCTTCCTCTACTTTATACATGTAATATATTATAACATACATTTTATCATTGATATTATTGATGTATCCATAGTACCAATCATAAAATCATCACAAAAGTTTGCTTTCTTATTTGAGGCCTTGTTTGACTGCAGCTCAAACTTCAGAATTTTGTGGAAATCCTTTAAAAAGTGTCACTTTCAAATGCAAAGAATACTACAAGGCATATAAAGCACTTATGCTGGATATGATTAGAAAAAACACCACTAGTTTGTTTGTTTGTGTCCCCAAAAGTATGTGGGAAGAATGTTTAGTTCCTGTCTCTGGCTCCTGAAAATAGGCATGGCTTCTGGCAAAATATTGTCAAATCTTACCTTCCAGTTAGGGATGGATTCCGGCTGCTGCTACTGCCGGTTTGCTCAGGGATGCACTGGGTGTGCGCTTGATGCATGCTATGCACACATGCAAAGTGCTAAAAAATTGATGCGCACACGCAGAAGCAAAAAACAAGATGGTGCCACCTATGGCGCTGCCGAGAGAACCAGTTCGGGGGTGTCACAGGCCGAGTTACTACTTACTCGGCTGAACCAGTCTGAACTGGTAGGACCCCACCTCCAGTTTGATTTATCTTGCTATGGCAGCTGAGTCTGCTGAAAGTTAAACTACAGCAATATTTGGAGGGCCAGAAATTTCTCACTTTCACATACACCACCTTCTGGGATTGCTTATATTCATTTACCTGGGTTTTATGAGCTATCATGTGCTATGACTATCTCACCTGTGAATCATCATATAGCAAGGTATATAGATGGGAAACACATGCTCTTTTTTTTTTTTTAGAACAACAGTACAGACCACCATCTCTATGTCATGAGACCTGATCCTTAGAACATATTTGGATAGCTGATACACCACCTTCTGGGATTCCTTATATTCATTTACCTGGGTTTTATGAGCTATCATGTGCTATGACTATCTCACATGTGAATCATCATATAGCAAGGTATATAGATGGGAAACACATGCTCTTTTTTTTTTTTTTTAGAACAACAGTACAGACCACCATCTCTATGTCATGAGACCTGATCCTTAGAACATATTTGGATAGCTGACTGCTATGAACTAGTGCTTTCCACTGTTCCAATCAGAAAAATATAGAAAACAAGAGATTTCTGCAGAACCTTTCGTCAAACTGTTTTCCAGAAGAAGTTGCTACCTACCAACATGCTGGAAACTTGAGCCTCGGCAGCCAGGGTCCTTTTGAAGTTGAATTTCCTTCAAAGAAAAGATGGAGGCAGCTAGAAAAGGGAAGGAAATGGAAACAGAAGTCACGGATTGGATCTCTCAGAGGTCACTTGCCATTCTGTGTGTGCGGCCCAATTGATTGCAGTGGATGGATGTCTATAAGTAAGGACAGCTGTAGAAAATTTATTAGATTAGTGTTCCTGGTATCCGCTATTTATGTTTTCAAAGTTCTGCTAGTACCATTTTCCTCACTCTTGAAAAATGGAATTTTTATTTTATTTTATTTCTCCCACTTCTGCCTTTTAAAATATTTTACACATTTATTTTAAATGCTTGGATTCTGGCTTTGTGAGACTAAAATTCAGATCTATTCTCAGTGACAGTGAGAAGCAGAACATCTACAAACAATAAATTCCTGCTGCACAGGAAGCCATATTTTAGTTCCTGTTAGGGAAGTATAGGTAGTCCTTGACTTACAACCACCATTGAGCCCAAATTTGTGTTAAGCGAGACATTTGTTAAGTGAGTTTTGCCCCATTTTACAACCTTTCTTGCCACAGTTGTTAAGTGAATCATTGCAGCTGATAAACTAGTAACCCGGTTGTTAAGTGAATCTGGCCTCTGCATTGACTTTGTTTGTGACAAGGTCACAAAAGAGGATCCATGACCCCTGGGACACAGCAATGGCCATAAATATGAATCCGTTGCCAAGCATCTGAATTTTGATCATATGATAATGGAGATGCTGCAAAGGTCGTAACTGTGAAAAATGGCCTTGGGATGCTTTTTCCAATGCTGTTGTAACGTTGAACAGTCACCAAATGAACTGCTGTAAGTTGGGGACTTCTTGTATGATACTTTTAAAACTTTACTGTGACTAATTGCTTGAAATAAAAGGTGCTTTGAAAGGATCAGGGAAAGGGCTTACATTTAATACAAAACAATTGTCTTCATTCATACTTTGGAACTATTATTAAGTCATTTTATGTCACAATGTTCCCATTGTATACTTACTCTCAGGAAGGAGGTGGACTCGTTCATCTAAGATCATAAAGTAGGGATGTCGCAGAGCTGATTCAGCAGAAATACGTTGTTTGGCTTCATACTTGAGGGGAAAAAAACAGACTTGAGTCCACATTTGTACAGTGATTTTATACATTGTTCCCAGATGCTGATTCATTGTTAGTAGTTTTTTTAAATAATTGAATCATAAATGATTGGTTGAACAGCCCGATGTCAGATGCAAACTATTACTAGAAAACATAAAACGAAGCGTTATTTTGCAAACAATACAATTTTTCCTAATGTCCTTTGGATATTAGTGGAGGTGTTGTACAAGTTGGACCATTTGTTTTAAGTCTGTCAAACCTATGACTCCCAAATTCTTCCGGAAAATTGCATCCTGTCTGGTTTCTTCAGTCTGCAGTCATGCAAAACAACTGTACCTTACAAAATGTATGTTTTTATTTTAGTTTTGGCTCAGTACAGGGAAGTCAAGCAATTACTGCAGAGCCAAACAACATCGCCTACAAAAGCCAGAACAGGACAAAAGAATCTTGGCAGCAGACACAGAATAGAACAATACAATAATCAACAAATCTGAAATTTGGTAGCATCATAGATCAGACTTACCATGGAGGGACATTTATGCCTGTTCACTGGAATGATTAGACATTCTATGTTTCTTTGAAGAAACCTTTTTTATTTAAAATAAACCAGCTATTTCTGTTTTTCTGAAACTGCCAATCTTATCGCTTGAGTTGTCTGTTTCCTGACCAATTATAGTAGCATTAGTGGTTCTGATGGGAGCTCCAAACTGTATCCCCCAGTTCCACTGGGATTATTAAACTAATTTCATCTCTTATAATATCTGTGAAACAGGGCTAGTTGACTAGGATCCAGAAGTGCTGTGGAGTGCAACCTTGAAACTTGATGGTTAAAGTAGCATCATTCTGGATAAACCTCATTCTACCCCATCTTTGCCACAGCATGTAGTAATAGCAATTATTTTGATCTGAACTTGCCAGCCGTGTCATTTTTACTCATGCTGTATCTGCCTGAAAGCTGAAGTAAAACTACTATACCCACATGGCAAAGTGGATAAATGAATTATGTTCCTAATGGACTCAGCCCAAATATCGGTCTTATAATGCTGTATGCCAGGCCTGTTCTGAGTTGCATACTGCGGTACTTGTGCATTTGAGAGTCACTACTATGAATAAATGATTCAATTCAAAGTAGCTTATGGCTGTTGGGTTACTCAAATGTACCATTTCCAAGCTGAAACAGATGTATGCTCCACTTGAGAATTGAAATATCTTCTGAGCACTAGGCAATGCTAGCTTGGTTTCAAATGGCTTTGTAGCCTAATATACCTATTGATTTTTTAAAAACATAGGATACCTCTTTAACAGTTCAGATTAAATTCCTCCAGGACAGTTTGCCATCTGTCAATAGATATCTACCCAGTCTTGTAATACTGACTCTGATAGTTACTCATGAAGGGGATCACAATCTCTCTGAAAGAGTTGATTCATGAGTTCTCCAGGACTCTCAGATGCTGCTTAAACAGCAGGCAGGAGATGTGGGCAGGGGAGCTGTTGCCCAACTTTGGCTGGTGTGCCAGTTAGTCATTGATGATGATCACTCACACCATGACCACCATTGTAGTAGGAGTAGGAGTATGGCTACACACGCCATGTAGAGTTGCCTTTGGAGATGATCCAAAGCTGCAGCTCACTGGTATGAAATGTAGTGGTTTTCGATGGGACAATCCTGTCAGGCCAGAATAATGCCTCTTTTGAAGTGGTTGCATTAGCTGTCAGCTGGCTTTCAGGTGCAATTGATGCACTGGTCAATATTTTAAAGCCCCTCATGATGCAGCATTGGGATAAATCAGGCAATGCTTTACTGCACGGGTTTCAAATTTGCCACGTCACATTGCCATCATATGACATTTTGTGACTTTTTCCCCTTCGTGGAGCTAGGGTGGCCTACATATGAGACATGGCCCACCAGTTTGACACCTCTGCGAATCAAATCTGCCCATCTATTTGGTCACAGTGTGGAGGTTTCTCCCTTGTAAATTTTATAGGGCATGAGCCAGATGCCAGGCTTTCTCAGTGATGGTCTTCCTTCTTGAAATACCCTTTTTCATACAGATAAAAGAGGACTCTAACCAGATGTGGTATTCTACCAGTTTGGACTGTTCACTGCCCACCCTGGCTGTATTTCATCCTATTTAGGGATGCTTTTTGAGCAAAGCGCATGAACGAAAGGCTGGGCGCATATATGGACACACGGGGGCACACATATTTGAAAACCGGTAGGGAAGGTCAGTGAAAATCACCCCTGACTCCAACGTTGTTGGAACTCCATAAACAGATCAAAGCAATTTTATTTCAAGGCAAGTTTGGCCCTTAGATTAATCTGCTTGCCTCTGTGATGTAACATATTTTTTACTAGTATTTTTATTTCAGTTCAGTTCAGTTCAGTTCAGTTTATTATATTTATATGCCGCCCTTTTCCCCCGAAGGGGACTCATGGCGGCTCACAACTCAAACCAGGGAAGGGGGATACAGACAAAAAATTTAAAAAACAAAGCATAACAATGCATAATTTAAAACACACAACAGTCATACCATTCAAGATGGAGGCAACAGCTCTTTAGCCCCAGGCCTGTCGGAAGAGCCAGGTTTTAAGGGCTTTGCGGAAGGCCTGGAGGGTGGTGAGGGTTCAAATCTCCACGGGGAGTTTGTTCCAGAGGGTCGGAGCAGCCACAGAGAAGGCTCTCCTCTGGGTAGTCGCCAGTCGACACTGGCCGGCGGATGGAATTCGGAGGAGGCCTAATCTGTGAGATCTAATCGGTCTAGTGGAGGTAATTGGCAGCAGGCGGTCTCTCAAGTACCCAGGTCCAATACCATGAAGGGCTTTATAAGTGACGACTAGCGCCTTGAAGCGTATCCGGAGACCAATAGGCAGCCAATGCAGCTTGCGGAGGATAGGTGTTACGTGGGTGGATATATTTTTCCTTTTTTTGTATCCCACACAAGCTACATTAGAAATGGGATGGGCTATAAATATTGTAATAAATATTTATCAAGTGGGAACTAGCCATCAGCTGTTTTTCTCTTTTAACACTTTTAGCTGCAACTTTAAACCTCCATAAAGATCTAGAAACCAATCAAACTGAACTGGCCACAGCTTCCTACAATTCAGTTTAAAACTGCCTAAATTCAGAATTTGGAGTTTAGCACTCTATGGTTCTTTCTCAACCCTTTCCCCCTTTCTACACATGCATTCCCATACCCCCAAATACACTCTGATTAATATTTAGCCTGAGAGAATTTTGCAACTGATATTTATAAAATATTTTCTTTAATTGCTCAACATGGCTTCCTTTGCATAAATAATGAAATATAAAGACCTAGATATGGAATCATTACCATACCCAGTGCATTTTAAATGGATGTTTTTGTCTTCTTCAATGTGAAACAAGAACATTTAGAAACAGTGATTCAGAGAAGATCATTCAAATGTCAGGAAGAAGGAAAGGCTGAGAATGAAGCAAGAAGATGCAGTTTTGTGAAAATTACTCAGGAAAATCAAGGAAATGTTTAGAATTCACTAGAAAAATCAAGCAAATAAATTTCTTAAATGATCGGTAACCTGATTTAGGATTTGAAATAGCGCTGTTATTGTTTACTTTGAAACAAAACTGTCATCAATTTGCCTTGTGCAACATGCGTTCTTCCTTTAAACAATGGTACTTACTCATACTTCAGAAACAAGATGATAAAATAAAATCATATTGAGACAAAGGTTATTTGGTCAAAGTGAGGCGAGGCCAACACTATCCATACTATTTTCAGCACCAATTTATAGAACTTAGCACTAAGAATCTTAGCGTCTTTCACTTACAGCAGTGATGGATAATCTTTTCCCCATTGCCTGCCAAATGCGGGATGGGGAGGAGCGCAGGGGGTTGTGCGTTTGTGTGCCCACACCCATAATGCTATGTGCCCAACCCCCATCATGCACATGCGTGATTGCTTCCCTCCCCTATATTTTTGGTGCACGATGGACCCATTTTGTACCCTCCCCAGGCTCTAGAGGCTTTCTAGGAGCCT